TATATATATATATAAGATGAAAACTGCTGCAGTCCTAAAAGAGGGTAAAGTAGTTCTTTTGTTTGTTTGTTTTTTTCCCCTTTGATGATTTTGATCAAACTAGATCTTTTCTGCATCTGCGTCGTGATTGAAATTCTGGTTGCACTCAGTAAAAAGATGCATTGTTTTGATGTGTTTGTGCGGAAAAAAGAAAAAAAAGTAATAACAAGGCAGTGGGGTGAGTGGGTGAGATGGGGGCAGCAGGTCTGCATTGGTTAAAGCTGCACAAGTCGACACAAGTTGATATTTTTTTCCAGGAATTTGCTGCACGGCAGCGTGTCGCACTTGGGCCAGAGGTTGTGTTTAAACGTAAGGAACCAAGGAGGAGCAAAATGCCACGGGGCACTTAACTCCTCCTGGCCCCTCAACCTCCCCTGGCCTCTCCTTTCCACTCTCCTAGGCTTTAACCTGTGGAGACCTTCAGTGTTGCACGGACAAAGCCAGAGAAAATAGACAAGAGAGCAGATAGATTTATTGGAGTGTTGGTATAAATATAGTTGCCTGTCGACATCTGTGTGCATGTGGCTGTCTCTCTTTCAGTGTGTGCATGTTGGTGTCCATTGGAGAGAGTGGCCAGGCTAAAATGGGAGGATCTTTCCATGTGAGAAATAGTGCCGGAGGAATGTGAGATCATCCCTAATAGAGATGAGTCCTTGTCTCCAGCTATGTTGATGATTAGAAGCCTTACATACAAACAGACTCACAAAAAGCTTTAATGAAGGGTTGCCACTTTAAATAGATGTACAGTGGTAAGTTCATGCAGTAGATCAGTCAGATAAATAGTGTCCTGTCAGTGCTTATCAGCTAAACTGAAGGCTTGACGGTCGTTTGTGTTTCTCGACCACTGCCAAGGCTAAAGAGGAGCGATTAGGTCGAGTGCGTTTCGTCTGTGAGCGTGTGTTCATCTGTCTAAACCAGGGGTCTGCAACCTGCGGCTCTGGGGCCACATGTGGCTCTTTGGCCCCTCTGCAGTGGCTCTTTGAAAATGTGGCCAAACATAACAGAATAACCTTTTTTGTTTTGTTTTTTATATATCTACAACAGAAATCAATTTGTGTGCAAATATGTGATCAATACTGCTAATATAAAAAGTAAAACATGTTAGCTCATGCTAGCCTGTTTACAAAAATATTCCAATTTATTTCTATGATCTTTTATCCTGATGAATAATAGCGGTATGTACAACAACAACTAAATAGAGTCAGAGTCATTCAGAATGAACAACACAGCTAAGCAAACTTATTAAATACATGATTGATTATTGATGACTCAACCAATTTTACAGACAATGAGCTCAAATTTGAAGTGTTACTAGCTAAGAATCATTTCTAACTTTAACATTCTCTAATTTTGAGGCCGCAGCTTTGAGCTAAGGTTGCTTCAGGAAGGGCATTCTGTACAAAACGTTTACCAAATCTTCAGTGCAAGGAAGGTGGAAGCGAACTCAGCTTTTTGAAATAAACTATGTCTCTTTGTTATTAAGGTATTTAAGGAAACACTGGAATTCTGGGCTAAAATAATTAATGGGCATTAATAACAAATAAAAGAGTGACAAGGAACAAAAAATATTAATAAACGTTTAAACAAAAAAAGAAATAAGAGAGACAAGTAAGGTGAAAGAGAGAAAAAAAGCAGGTAACATGATACTTTAATGCTCTTCCATTTGTGTGAACTCTCCACCAATCTATCAATCTCAGAGTTGCTTACACAAAAGGGCACAAGTGGAGATCAACTCTGTGTGGGGTTTCATTTGATACACAATGACTGTAATTATAGGAGTGGGAGAGACTGGCACATGGAGCGAAACATGCTTAACTGTGACGTGAAGTAATCTGAAGTCTTTCACAGATAAATATGCACTAAAAGTAGAATTAATCATGCTCTCAAATTAGACCGAATGTGCACACACACACAAACCTCAGCTCTGGCTCATCAGGCTGGGAGAGACAGGGATCTTTATGAGTTAATGCAGGCCCTGGAGGTGATGGTTCGGCTGCTGCCTAAGTTCCACAGCCCACCCAGCAAGGCTGCTATAGTGCTAAGAGATTTAATAGTCCATTTTGTGCACATCACGTCTCTGCTTTTTAAGCAATCCTTGCCTCAGGAGGCTTAAATGACATTTACTGTACAACAAGACACGTCTGGAGTATTGGACTTGACTTATCTTGCACGGGGCTGTTTTTGAACAGGAGGTGAGTGGCGTGCTAAGCCAGATAAACTGCTCTGCAGATAAAAGCTTCTAGAGTAGTTTCAGTTTGAGATGTACTTTGGCAAAGTGACTGCGCTCCTTTCAGAATTGTCCTATAGGGCTCATTGGCTAATTCGGCTTATGTCTGCAAATCATGTGACCCGTGAATAGCTGAGTCCTTGGAAGGCAAAATGTCATTTGTTGTTAACTTGAGTGTTTCCTGTTGAAMGCAAGTACTTTCTCACTAAAATTGGCAAAAAAAAGTTATCTCATACTCAACAACAATCTGAATGTCATCTTAAAGGGGAGTGGGTGGGGTGGGGTATTATGGTGCAGTACGAGGGCCAAAATTAAGACTATTGAGCAACAAGCAGATGCTACTTCTTTGCAGCAGGAGGCTAGATTTCTTCCTAAGCAAGCTATTGATCTGATTAATGATAGGCTGGAACCAGTGGAGATAAAGCGGTACCAGCAGCTGGCTCCGGTAACTGAGAGACCGGTGCTGGCAAATGAGAAGGAGACTATTCATTTGCGTTAGCTTTGGAAAGGCTAGCCACTAGCATGGATAAGCTGGTGTCAGCATCGGAGAGGCTAGCGACTAGCATGGATGAGCTGGTGTTAGCGTCAGAGAGGCTATCGACTAGCATGGATAAGCTGGTGTAAGCATCGGAGAGGCTAGCGACTAGCATGGATAA